TGCGTTTTCAATCCAAAAGTGAAGCAGTATTTGAAGAACTTAAAGGGGGAAAATGCTTTGTGGGTCTCATATTAACACTTGGAAGAACTACCAAATAGAATAGAAAGAAATGCCTCTACAAAAGACAATAGTGAAAGATAATTGCCCCATAAACATAAAATGAATGCATTACATCTGTGACTTAGAAAGTCTCTTTTTCTAAAGAGAGAACCTGATTAAAAATAAAATAAAAATGAAGGCTCAATAATGGGTTTGAACTACCTCTACTTATGTAAAAACACAGGATAGTCACAAAAATACAAGAGTGTCATAATATTTAAAGAGTTATTTTTATTTCACAAAAAATGCAATTGTGTTCGCAATATATATGCCATTCAGTCAGTGCTGGTTATACACACACCATATTATTCAAAGTATAAGAAAATAGGCTTTCATTTGTCCTTTACATATTAAGGAAATCCACAGATTTGCATATAATGTGTACATCTATATACACACACAAAAACACATCTTGTTTTCTAAAATACTCTTCCTCAAAGCAAATATTCTACAACTTGGAGTTACTCTTTTGATGAAAAATGTATACTTTCTATAAAGATATCAACAGAGAAGTCTAATCCCATTCAGTGTTCAATAATATTTGATATTCCAGAACTGCTTTGATGTTACTATTATTTAAGCCAGCTTCCTGTTATCAATAGAACTACAATCTCTCCACAGATCTGGTGCAAATTTACTCTTAAATCCATCCTTTCTAAGACCCTGTAAATTAAAAGTGTTCAGTGGCTTTCAGTCATTCATTCTAACTTCCTCATACTCTTGCACATTTTATCAAGGTAACTCTTAGATTTCAACAGTAATTTGCTACATGTGCCATGACTAATCTAAAAAAGATGCTCAACCATTGCTTTGATCAAAGCAGCGATGTCATGGGTAAAGATCTGCATTTCTGCTGCAAATTGTAACATTCTAGAAGGCTTAATTTCTTAAATATCAAGACCTGAGAGTATGGCAAAACAACATTTTAATTGGCTAAATATCTTACTGTGGGATAAAATATTATAAAACATCAGCAAACATTTAAAAAAATTATGCATGTTTGGAGGACTATCAATTAGCATTTGAAGTAGCATATTGTGGAAATTAAGTAGCGTATATCTAAACATATATGGTATGGGAGCAACCATTTGTGAAATATGTACAAAAATGTATTCTTAAATGAAGCAATCTTTAAAAGTTCAGAGTGCAGTGAAAGATAACATCTTCCAGAAGGATTTTTAAAAGCCAGCCTATCATTAGAGGGAGGATTGTTCTAACACAGAACAGGTGGAAGACAGTCATATAAATATATAAGGGTCAGCATTCTATATAACATGATGTTATTAAAATAAAATAAGGCCACATTCTTTCAAGTATTAGCCTCACAGTGCATGTCCAATTTCACCTGTAATGTAGCAGGCTGTTTTTAAAAGCAGCAAGATCTATTACATGAATTCCATTTCCCACAGCTGTATAAAGATACTAACATTACATTTACAGTTAAATTACAGTTAAAATGTAGTAGCTTTGACAGCATTCAAAAATAAAGCAATTTCATTGTTTGAAGTAAAAAATAATTACTTTGGGGATGGGCAATTTTAAATGGCTGGATTGCTTTGTGTACATTTTGACAGAATTAAAGTCACAATATGGCTACAGATGTACAAATTTATAACTGAAACCTGCATTTTTAAGGCTCTTTTACATATACCCATACAACAACCATCATGCAGTATCTTTTCAAAAATAGTATTTGGAACACTCTCACCAATTCCAAAACCACAAGTCAAATGATAGATTACTATGCATAGCTTCCCCCCCCCCCCAAAAAAAAAAAAAAAAAATTCCATAGAGATCACAAAACGGCACAGGAGAAATTTGTCTCCCAATGTCAGAAGAAAATAAACTGTAATGCTCAAACTTGATAATTTTGAATTCTAGGATGGGTACAAATTTGGGTTTTATGTCTGACACCTATTTCAAAGAGAACAAAAACTGATTCTAAATATTGTAGTCGGCATACTTTATGCTGAACTCTATACATTCAGCCAAATATGTAGAGAGAAAGAGTTACATACATATGTAAAGCAGTAGATCTGGGCTATTTTTTGGACCAAGAGTTATAGTTAGGCTTTTGGTAGCACACCTTGGGCCTCCAAAATCTAATATGTGGAGACAGGATAAAACTATATTTTCCTTTACATTTAAAAAAAATAAATATAGCTACAACAGTGACTCTCCAGTTATATGTATCTAGTAATTTTCTCCTCAAACATGTTGAAAAAGAATTGGTTTTTCAGAACCACAACTAAAACCTTTGGGGTAATAATATACTAGACAGGCCCAATTTTTCAATGTGAAATAAAATAGGCAGAAAAGTTATCTGTGATACACAAATATATTGGTATGCATGTATATCTAAACATATTTAAGATGCAAATAATTTAAGATGCAAATAATCTCCAAAGTTTGTAGACTTAAAAGATGTGCTTCAAATATATAGAACTGTACATTTTATCCACAAAGCCAGATTATTGGGATAAGCCTTATTTAATTATCTCTTTAATAAAATGCTTCAATGCAAACATATAGAGAAACACACAATGCTCCATGTGCATTTTAAGTACACACACTTCTTAACACTAAAGAGAACAAACTATTCATATACAATGCCCTTGGCTATTTAACGTTCTTTGGGAGTCATGGCTATAAAGACCAAAATAATTTTTTGTTTTGTTTTTTAGACATTCAAACTGACATGTTGTTAAGTTGAACAAAAAGGTTTTCCTTCACTGATTAAGAGCTAACATTATAGCTCTAATAATCTTCAAAGTTATGAAGATTTGTAACTATGAAGGGCTTTTAAGAAAAATAGACTTCCATTATATATATTTTATAATAATACTTTAAGGCACATGAACTATGTTTTCAAACAGACTGAAAACACAACTAATTGATGTCATTCGTTTCCCCCCAATACCAAGTTCACCTATTACAGAAAGCTTTGAACCTAATTGGGGGATTGGACATACAGTATATAGTTTGTATCACTCTACACTGTATTTCTATATTAAAGTGATTTTAGGAGAGAAAAAAATTAAAACCAAATACACTACCACTTCCAACAGGATGCATGTAGAAGATGTTAAGATTTAAAAACAGCACAAAAGCTTTGATCAAGATATTAGAATCAGGCATTTCTAAGCTAAGAAGCCATACAGAAAATTGATGACATTCAAATTACTTTAGTTATTGATGTAATAGAAAATTCTCTATTCCATTAAAGTCCCCCCTAATTTTTGAACTGGATAAAAGCCTTTCATTCTATTATATAAAATTATTCTTCTGAATGGACTCAAGACAATTATATTTAAAGTATAATACCTATCATTTATGGTTTCAAGATACATACAAATGCATTTGTATAGAAAGCCCAACTCTTCCAGATTATTCATTGTTGGAAATCAAACTTAGTTGGAAGCAAATAAATGTACTAACTGCTTTGATAAGGACTAAATCTCAAATCTATACATTATTATTTTAAAATAATTAATCAAATGTAAATCAAAATCAAGCCAGTTATTTTAAAAAAGATAAATAATTGAAAGTATTTTTTAAAATATCAGTTCTTTCATTTAAAATAAAATATTCTAATTTAGAACATATGTGTACTACATTTTCAAGTCCAGTTCACATTTCCAGTAGCAAATACAGCTACATAAGACTTGAAGGGTCAGATGATGTAATAAAAAAGCAGAGGGAGGGAGGGAGGAAAAATAAAAAATGTTAAGAATGGCAAACTAAGCATGAGAGGAATAGAGCAAATCTCACATTCCCTAACAACCAGGTTAGATGTTCTTCACATTGTGAAGTCAGACAATTTTCATTTTTGGGGGGTATCAAGATGAGTTATTTTCAACCAAAATTAAGAATTGAGCTATTCAATTCTTGCAATGAAAACAGTATATTAGAGAGTCAGAAGTACTAAAATTAGATATATTTTTCCTTTCCCTGTTTTAATAGAGTTGAAATATAATTGCAAAGAACTTACCTAGTTTATGTTTTTACATTAAATTCATAACTAAGCAAAATGGGATTCAAATTATTCTCTTAATCTAGAATACATATTGTTTTCTTATTGATCCCAAAGTGCTTCAAACACTGAATTTGGTCTATTCTTCAGCAATGTTCTTCACTTTGAATTATTTGTAACACAGACATCATATCAGCTTTACCACACTTATATTCAATTTCTGGAGTACTTATGAAGAAAGAAAACACACTACCTTATATTTATGATCTATGAAACACTGGATTTTATAGCACAGAAATAATGAGATCTAAAATGTTCCAGTGTATGTAATCCTCCATGAAAAATGAAGTAAAATCAGTAGTAAAATGTTGAACCAAAGAACCGTCTTCTGATTGTCTTTAAAATCTATATACATTTCAGGGAAAAGTGGGATCCCCCCCCCCCAATTCTGAGAAAAAGGTATGTCTCAAAAGCTATGTCAGATTGGATCCATACCTTTCCAAGTTTATATTTGCTTGAAGAAAGAGCTTCTTAGATTATCCTCTTTGCTAGGAACAAACTTAGAAACTAAGAGTACTGTATAGCTGTTCAAATGATTGAAGGCACTACCCATCTGGCACTCTTTAAAATATGTTGGAACTACAAATCCCAGAACTGAAAATCTCAACATGATAACTAAGTATTTTGGAATTTATAGTTCTAAAACTTTTTAAAAACTTTAAGTTGGGGAAGCTGGCCTAATCAACACATTTCATTTTTTTTCCATCTGTTTTTATTTCTGTCAATTTTTCTTATAGTATAATATTTTATTGGGAAACTTTAGAATTATATTGGATAACATATAAAATTGTTGATGTCTCAAATGCCGATTTCTTACTTTACTATAAAGTCAATACAGGGTAGAAGAGTTTCACAAATGTAGGGATAATTTCTTATAATAATATGGCATGCTTTATTTTCGGTGAAAGATTTTAGAACAAGGATGAGTGACAAAAACAGCATGTGTCATGATTTAACAAATAGTTACTTTGGTCAAAGTACAGGCATGATCTAGTTTCAGAAATATCTATTTACAGAAAAATGTGAAACATCAGGGCAATATTGAAAGGAATTGAAACCAGGCAATTCCTAAACCAATAATTCTACAATTGCTGAATCAGTGTACTACATACTTTTAGGAAGCTATATGAAATGGAAAAACAAAACTGGACTCTGAAAACTGTATAAAACATTCTCCAACCTATAATTTATAACCTTTTTGAAAACCTCTATGGTCAGGTTCAGCATAGCTCTCTTAACATTTTACTTATGTTTACAAAAGGTCATTTAACTTAATTCAGTACACAGTACTAGTTAACATCTAGCCATGTTGTAATTAAAAAATTCTGATATTTGCATAATTTCTAGAAAATGCCTAGATAAATCAACACCCAGAACTCCCCAAATCTTACTTGTTACTTCACCTATTTATCTTACTGTGTTTTAGCCACTGCTTATAATGGCGATAAAAATGCTTTACAACAGAGACATTATTTACAATTCAGCAAACTATGCACAATGAGAAAGACCAAACTGAATTTTGCAAAGAAAAAGCAGATCTCTGGAGTGTTTGTCTTGCTCTCCTGTTTTTTCATTAAGTAAAAATGTACTCTATATGTAGAAATGGAATTCCATGTTCCTACAATGAAAGGGAACTGTACTTAAATTTTAAAAGTTATTATAGTATCCTTGTTTATGTGAATATGTGGTCAAAATGAGCTTTTCCCTTATTAGCAATTATATCCAGTCCACAAATACTCCAGAGAGCCAATTCAGAAAAGATTAACCCTGAGCTAACTACAACCCTCTGAGTGCAAAAAACAAAAATTGCATTGCTCATGTTTAACTTTTTTTTTTTTGCAAAAGCAAAAGACCAGCATTTCTAGTGATTAATACAAGCTGTAAGAGAATTGTGACTACTATAGCAGTTTTTCGAGGAGTGCCAAGTTTTTTTCCATCCACTGAATATTCAGTTGAATTGTCTCAATAGCTTCTCGGACATACCGCAACTGAGCAGTTTCCTCTGACTTTGACTCAAAGAATGACTTAACCTAAAGAAAAGTAACACATGAAAAAAATAAGATCTCAGGGCAATAAAAACAAATAATCCCTTAAACATTTTAAACAGCCCAACCAGCTATTATCTAAATGTTGAGGAAATTGATAAGAAATGAAAATTTCATTACATATTTACTATTGGTGCTTTATAGTTCAGTCCTAATTACATTACAGAAATGGTAAATTTTGAAATCCAGACTATTTCATACAATGCAGGACATTAAATAATTATCTTAAATGAACAACACAATGACTCCCTATTAGAAACAATTTCTCTAATTTGAGAAAAGATCTTTCATGTTATCATGTTCCCCAAATTTCTATGAAAATTTCTCGCCTTCCATAAGAGCTTGAAAGCCTGGTTCTGTCAGCTGGCCTGGAATTCTAATGGGGAAGTAGCATCTTGGAGGTGGTTAATGGATTAGACAGATTTCATCTCCTCCCCATGCACACTTTGTTTCCTTCTTCCCATTTTGGTTTATTGAATTTTAACTTAAAATATATGGTTGCTATTTAGTGTTTTTAAGGTTTTATAATGTATTTTAATTATATGACTGTAAGCCACCTCTAATCAATCACCTTGGCAAGATGGGAAGTACAGATGATAGATGGATGGATGGATGGGAGAAAGAGAGACAGACAGACAGACAGACATAGACTGAATCACTGACTGACTTACCGACCTTGTAGGAAAAGGACTAGCACAGCCAAGAGAAGGAGGGAAAAGAGGGATCACCCTAAAATGACTGCAAGGCTACAAAGGAACTAAGGCCAACCTTCCCTTCACTGTTGTTGACCCTTATCTAACTCTAACCAGTGCTGACCATTAGTTGATTCTTCTGTGTAGGCTTTTAACAATAAATTGATTAAATTAAGCCTTTATGTGTGGACCTGGTCTTTTGTGCCTGACACAACTATTTGTATTGTGAAGCAATGTTATAATTTAGAATCTTAATCTGCATCACACATTGCCTTCTTTCTACATCAGTGACAGTATTATTCCACAATTCTTTCAGAACAATTTATCCAACTAACCTCTAGCAGATGTTCTAGTGTGGAGAACTGATACGTTGTTGATGTTACAATGCTTTGAATAGTGTATGATCCGCTGTGAAACCTGAAATTTAGAAACAATGGATCAAGAGCAATACATGTCATTAATCTATGTTAATTGATATATATTTCACTCGCCTATACAGATAGTCCTATACAGGGGCTAGAGTTTCCATTGCTAAACAAAGCGAGTCACACCCAATGAGTCACGTCCAATTTTATCACTTTTTTTGCCACAGTTGCTAAACAAATCACTGCTGTTCTAAAGTGGATCATGCAGTGGTTAAGTTTCTCCGTTGACTTTGCTTGTTGGAGGACAGCTGGGAAGGTAACAAATGGTAGCCACATAACCTGGGATGCCATCATAAATGCTGAGTGCCAAACGTCCAAAGTTTGATCACAAATGGGGGGGGGGGGGGGAGAATGCTGCGACAGTTGTAAGTGCTGACCAGTCATAAGTCGATTTTTCAGTGTTGTTGCACCTTTGAAAGGTTGCTAAATGAATGGTTGTAAATCAAGGGCTACCAATATTAATCTAAAGCATTTCGTATGACACCTAACCAATCTTGAGGCTCAGGGAAATTCCAGAATCAGTTAGCTTACATTTGTCATCAGCCATACAGGACAAATTTTTCTAAAATCATCAAGCTCAATATTTTTCACAATTCCAGAAAATGCAGAATATCAAACATATCTCCCATTCATGCAATTTACCAATAGCAGCAGCTGAATTATACTGTATCTAGAGTACAGAAGAATTTAAATCAATCTCATTCAACTTATTATTAAATTAAAGTAAGGATGCTGGGTAGTTTTATTCATCTGGAAAGGTACCAAATTGAGATGACTACAATAAAGGCTCTTAACTGTCATGTTTGTCACAAGTTACCATACAATTTAAACTAAAACAAAGTGTCTTTTTACAACTCAGTGCTAAAGTATCTCCCTCACTGACTAGTGTTAATTTGAGACAGAGATAAGGGCACAGTGGGTGATGTAAAAAACCAAGGTGAGTCCCAAGAGAATGTTTACTCATGTCATAGGTTACCAACTACCTGTTTCATAGTTGACTCATGCAGGGAGACAGATTATTGTTATTGTTATTGTTATCATCATCAACAACATCATTAAGCAAAACATTACTTTTTGATAAGCTGATTCCAATTTTCTTTAACAAAATCCCATGCCAATAAATGTCCAGGCAAATTCTGACTGATACTTTTAATGACAGTTGGAAGATCCTGTGATCTGATTACAACTCCTTGCAGGCTTGTTTCCATTAACCTATGAAATAAACAACAAGAAAATAGCATTTTAGGCATGTATCTTCTCTTTTTCCAGAGAACTATATCATCTATAATTTCAGCACTGCCATAGCTTTGGATAGTTGCTGAAAGAAAGATTATTTGTATACATATAAACACACACACACTATATGACTATATATTATCATGCCATCTTTTACTTTTATTGTTTTATTGATTGTATTTTATTTATTTTATTTATTGTATTTTATTATTATTGTTAACTGCCTTGAGTTGTTGAAAGTCAAGTGATATACAAGTTTAATAAACTATTATGACAAATATCAGCTGTAGTACTTCAGATCACAACTTGAAAAAGGGCTCTTTTGGCGCATGCAAATATATATCCCATATATATGTATTTATATATGTATGTATAGGATACATACATGGATTCCACTTCACAGGCCACCATTTAAATGATTAAATAAAAGATATCTCATGGACATCCAAAACAAAACATTTCAGATCAAAAATCTCCTAGCAGCCTAATGTATAGTAAAATATAGATGAATGGAAATGCATGCACATACTGTACAAGCATAGGCCTAGCCTTTCTGCAAATCAGAAAAAGCCAGAGCAGCTTCTAAAGAAACTACTGCTGCTTCAACAATTACAAAAGAAATGCTCATTTTGGAGTTATGGGCTTCAAAAATGAATGAATGCACAATACTTTGTATTAATAAAATCAAGGTAAAGCATACGTATCTTATATAATGAGCATATAATGAGCATGCTCATAGTAGTCAAAGTTCTCAGTATAGAGAGAATCTAAAGCATTTCGTATGACACCTAACCAATCTTGAGGCTCAGGGAAATTCCAAAATCAGTTAGCTTACATTTGTCATCAGCCATACAGGACAAACTTTTCTAAAATCATCAAGCTCAATATTTTTCACAATTCCAGAAAATGCAGAATATCAAACATATCTCCCATTCATGCAATTTACCGCAGTATAATATTTATTGCACAGACCACAGTAACATAAAATATTCTTGAGCTCCTAGAGAAGAAGGAAGTTATTTGAAATAGGTTAGTCTGAGAGGGATCATCAGTGATCAAGTCAAGTGTAAGCAAGAACCTGAATCTAGGAAATAGCTCAAATCCCATTGTATGGTTGACAACCTCTTATGTTTGTTTATTCAAATCTTTTACATTTAATGAGAGAAGTGCACTGATATCTGCATTAATGAACATGTTTTGGTTTATGAACATCTGTATCTGGGGAACATTGTTTTTTACACTTATTATTTAGTTTCAGTTGAAGATTAGAAACTTCATTATGACTTTATTAAATTTAGAGACCACCCATCTTTCTCAGAGCCACTCTTATGATGCTAATTATCTAAAACTTTGCAATTGCACACCTCTGAATATCTGGTTTATCAACTTTAAAGCAGTTGAGTTATATAATTAAGGGAAAAAAACAATGTCCCCCAGATCCAGGTGTTCATACACCAAAACATGTTCATTAACCCAGATGTTAGTGCACTTCTCTCATTAAATGTAAAAGATTTGAAAGATTACAGAAAGCATGCTAAATGTTCATGTACTTGCTTAACTTCTTTGTGCAATGACACAGAGAAATCTATAGTAATCAAATTTAAATAAATTACTGACCATAACTAGAAAACTAACTTTTATTTAAGATTTAAAATCTTCAAGTTTAAAAATGGGAATATGGGAATAGGAGGAGAAACTGTACCAGATGAGTTTTTTAACATCACTTGTGCTGGCCAGTGATTCAAGAATTTTGAGTTTTTCTGGTTCAGAATCCACAAAAGAATACATTTGTAAAAGAAATTGCCAGCCAGCTTCAGTTTTTGCTCCAGCTGTGAATATGATCTTCATAACATTTGTCGGCAGGCTGCAGAGACATACAAAAAGAATAAGTATATATGTATTCTTAGACTCTCATACAAACATCCATATTAAACATAAAAACAGTATAAATGTTAACTGCTCAGTTAAGCTCTTGGACATGATACAGCAATTTGTAGTAGAACACAAATATTCCCCTTGTAAGTTAATCTTTTTCATGTTCTCAGTCATTTCTTCTTTGCCATTTGTTCTTGTTCTCACACATTTAGGAATGAAGAATTAAAGTTAATTAATATTCAGCATTACCTTTTGTTATGAAAAATGGGAAAAAAGGCAAAGACACTAAACCAATCCTGGGCTAAGTCACATTTATCTAATGGTACACACTTGTTCTCACAAAGTCTTCAAGTATTGGTTTCAAGCCTAGATAGAACCAAGCAAGAACAACTGCAACTAGACATTTTTCTTAACTGTCTTGAGCCTGAGATGCCATAAAAGGTCTAATAGGCCTGGGAATAGATGATTGCTGTCTCTCAGCTTTAAGCCTTCTATTTGGCACCATAAATGTCTTTCTTTGAGCAAGTCATTTCTGACAGACATTGAGCTGGACACCCTGTTTTTGTGTTCTTCCAAGTGCTGTGACAAGTCTGACAGAGAAGAGTGCAAAGGGTTAAAAAATAATAGTGTGATACTAAAATGATTATAACAGTAATCAAATAAATTAATATTAGGTGGATAGCAGCCTGCTCCCATTCTTTGCTATGCTACTGAAATGCAAGTACAACTGAGAACTTCTACAGAACCTGTTTTCAGAAGAAGGGCAACATATTCTTCTTACATGTCCTTTCATATGTGTGCATGCCTTTGAGTCAATGTTGATTCCTGGCAACTGCTTGGATTAGCCCTTGCAGTTTTTGGCAATTTTTAAAGAAATGATTTGCCACAGACTTCTTCCTAGAGCTGAGAGTGACTAGCCCAGCTAGTTTTGGCCTAAGGTGAGACTACAAATCACAGTCTTCTGGTATCTTAATCACTACACCTGCTTTCTTATGTTTCCTCACCAGCAGTAAACTTCACTGGCTTTTCCCTTCTTCAGTGTGAAGAATTGGGGGGGGGGGGTGTATTCTTACACCAAAGGCTTATCATTTCATGTTGTGTTCTGAAATATCCAAAAAAATGTCTTAATATGGCCACTAGCATCTATGATCCTCGAATGGTGTTCAAAACAAAAATTAAATTAAATTCTTAGACCAGGGATGGGTAGCCTGTTGGCCACATGAAGTCCTCAGCTCTCCCTCATACATGACCAGCCACTGGTTCTTAAAATCAGTGCCAAATTAGCCAATAAAAAGCTCGTCCCATTCTTACCCTTTAAAATCCAAACTACCAATAAAAAAGAAAGGCAGAAAAATATCCTTGCCCCTCACTGGTCACCATATTACTAGGCTTCCTGTAGCCTGCTAGAAAATAAGCAGACTTAATTTTGCATCTGAAACCATAAAGGCTGCCCATTGCTCAATCCTGGTTTAGTCCCTGTTAGTGCTCTGTATTGTCTTCTATAATTATCCAATCAGCATTGTATTAATATAGCAGTAATGAGGATAGAAACCGTTCTGAAAGACAGTGGAATACATGCATTAAACTGATATCAGGAAAAGATTCCTAGTAAAGAAAGTACTCATAAAATTTATAAACTTTGATGGAACTGGAAAGAAATGTTCTTCAGGATGAAAAGGAAGGCTTTAAAATGTGAAGAGTCTTACCCATCACTACAAGTTCAAGAAAATGTTCTAATTTTATATATTAGTAAATGAGCGCATAACTTGTTCTTCATGTTTTGTAGCATGCCAAAATGCTACCCACAAGCAGTGCAGGGAGAACAACTTTCAGTGAACTATGTTGAGACATTTTAAGATTTGCTTAATTAGTTAATTAATTAATTAATTCAAGGTTTGCTTAAGCCTGGCTAACTGAAATTTCAAAAATTGGTTGTGCTCATAAAATACACTGGACCACAAAGCAAGGTTTATATGCTGCAGTAGATAGCTGTATGACATCTATTGTAGTTTATAGTACAAAGTACATGGTAGCACAAAGTCAGTCAGACAATATGGCACTGTATAAAGAGGTAAGCTAGGTCTGTGACTGATTCAAATACAGATAGTCCTCGACTTACAACAGTTCCTTTAGTGACCATTCAAAGTTACAGTGGCACTGAAAACTTTGACTTATGACCATTTTTCAGTTATGAGCTCTGCCACAATCCCCATGATCATGTGATTAAAATTCACATGATTTGTGAATTGACAACTGGTTCATATTTGCTGTGTCCCAAGGTCACACGATCACCTTTTGCAACCTACTCATAAGCAAAGTCAGTGGGGAAGCCAGATTCATTTAACAGTCATACTAACTTATAAACTGCAGTGATTTACTAAACAACTATATCAAGAAAAGTTGTAAAATGGGGCAAAACTCACAACAGAAATTTTGGGCTCAATTCTGGTTGTAAGTTGAGGACTCCCTGTAATTAGCATTTTTGGGTTTCTGGTCATATGAAGTGCCCATGTTTTCACTCTGTACCCATAGTAAAATTTCTTCCCCAATGAAAAAGATAAACATTTACACACACACACATATATATATATATATACTGATTTTAAAAAAAATATTTTTAGTGATGGTGAAGTAATGTCTTAGTGCCTAAGGAGAAAAATAATTTAAGTAAGTTTTTTTAAAATTATTATTTACCTTGCTGTCCCATTGGAGTCCTTCCATGTCTTAAATAGATCAGAAGCAGTGGAACTACACTTTCTTAAATCATAGGAACAGGCAAAATTTAGTAAATTTGACTGTAGTTCTAATTCTGAGATGGTCTTATTATTGTTCCATGTTATTTGATCAATCTTCTCTCCAAACAATTTTTCAATCCTATACTAGAAAATAGCAAAGGAAAAAGATTACCACTGGTCAGTAGAAAAAAACTTTGTTACAATTGCGCTATGGCTAACTTCAAAATCTACAAAAAATGATGTAGAACACAGATCTGAGCAAAACCTGACTAATTCTCCTTTCCTTCTGTCAACTATTATCACAGCCTGATCTATTCAGAACTATACCAATTCCAAAGTGAGCATCAAAGATCCCATGTGTGAGAGAGATCTGCTAGACCAGGGGTGTAAAACTCAAGGCCTGGGGGCTGGATCCGGCCCACAGGGTGCTTAGATCTGGCCCGCGTGTGCCCCCCTCCCGCGCTCCATTTTCACTGGCAGAAGGTGGCAGGAGGCCGTCACAGTTGAAAATGGAGCTTGGGAGCCCGTTTTCGCTGGAAGAGCACAAACACCCCTGACATGAGTGACGTCAAGCTGACCATGCCCACCATGGCCACGTTCACCCTGGCCTCCAATATCAAACACAACCCTGATGCGGCCCTCAATGAAATCAAGTGACATCCCTGTGCTAGAATTTTTTTGTGCAACATTAATTTGATGATATGATGTGAGGGCAAATGAATTTGTACTAGAAATCCAGAATGATGTAAGTAGAAAAAAATATGACATCACAGACCCCTATTTATTTATGGGACATATGATTTATAGTATTTCCTCACGAACTTAGTACTAGAAGAGACAGCAGTTAAAAATGTTGAGATCATGAAGAAATTAAAGAAACTATAAGCTGTTTCTTCTAAGTAGCTGCATTTACGCAAGATAGGAAAGGATGCAGTTACGAGCAGATGATCTTTGCCATTACAATGCATTTCTAAATAACGCCTGTAGATTAAATTATAAACTATTAAAAGCATAGCATTTTTAAGGAAAAATAAAATGAATGCTACACATCCTTTCAAACATTATGCTACGATGTAATACAGGAAGTCCTCAACTTACCACAATTAAGTCCAAAATTTATGTTCCTAAGCAAGATTAAGTGAGTTGCACCCCATTTTACAATCTTTTTTGCCACAGTTGTTAAGTGAATCACTGCAGTTGTTATGAGAATCATGTGATTGTTAAGTGAATCTGGCTTCCCCTACTGACTTTGCTTGTTGGAAGCCATCTGGGAAGGTTACAAATGGCAATCCCACCACCCTGGGACACCACAACTGTCATAAACACATGCTGCTTGAAGCACCTAAATTCTGATCATATCACCACGAGGATGCTGTAACAGTAGTAAGTGTGAAAGCTAGTCTTAAGTCACTTTTTTCAGTGCTGTTGTAACTTTGAACACTCACTAAACAAATGGTTGTAAGTGGAGGACTACCTCTACAACTTTCTAGTTATCACACAATTGCTGCTTCCCTATTTTCAAGAACTTACCAACACTCTGGCTGAGAGATCCAGCATTCCTCGTTTCTCAACTAAATTGAAGATACGACTCATTTGGTATAAAGCTTGTATAATTGGAGCCGTGCTGTTTTCTTTCACTATATAGTCTATTAGATTGAAAGCCAGGGTCAAAGAGACTTTTCCTACCCTAAAGAGATCAGAAAAAAAGTTTTAGAGCAGTATTCTAATTCTAATATTATAAAGGATTATACTGTGAAAACTTATGGAAATATGTATTTTTAAAACTGAAATATATTGTTCCAAATAAATTCTGAGCTAGTTTCATTGCAGACACAATCTAGTATCATTGATTGGGGAGGTGGAAAGAAATTATCGATAAAGCTTCTCTATATGATAATCTTTGAGAAACAATCGATTTAAGGTTTTTCTTTTTAAAATGAAACTATAAAGAAACAATAGAATTTTGCCATACTGAAGTTTAACATTATGAACTTTTTTATACTGTTAAACATTCTAAGATACATTTAGCAGGATCCAATCTGGGTCGGTCACTGGGACCAGAGGTTAAGTCTTCCAAGCTTTCAGATTTGTGCTAGAGCCCATCCTAAGGGAATTTCCCTCTCATCAGAATGTGTGGGTTTTTGGGGTATTCTATGCATAGTATTTATGTGGTGCCTGATTATGTGAAATCAGCACTCCTGTTGACTGACAAGGGGCACTTTCCCAGGCTTCAATCATTTCCCTGGCTATTTTTGTACCTGCTTGGCCAACAATTTTAGTTGTGTGAAATTAAATGTATGTTGTTAGTTGCAATGTGAGGCTATCAGTGGGTTCAGATCTCCTCGTCCGACCACTCGTGTGTTCTTGAAATCTGGTTAGGTTTTCCCCATCTGTCCTACATTGTCACACAAGCAATCCATGCAGGGGATCCAGTAAATTACATTAGAAGTATCTCCCACCTCCAAGCGACCTTTGCAATGCATGGTTTATCCTCATATGGTAGCCTCTGGGTAAGCCCACTTGCAGATCTCAGAAGCTGTGTTCTATTACTTCTTAAATGTTTTTTATCTATGACAGGATGTGCCATATAATTAGTCTTGTACGTTCTCTCTTCCTTTCTCTCCCCTGCATGTTGTGCAAGCATCTTGCAAACAATTTATAGGAGTTATTTATGTATTTATTATTTACAGGAGAGAGGTAAGTTCCCTGAGAATGGGTTCCAGCACAAGCCCAAAATCTCAGAAGACTATAATCTCTGGTCCCAGTGATCAACCCAAATTGGATATTGCAACATTAACCTGGGACACATATGTGTTTTCATTCACAAGCTACATTTAGCTTAGATGCACACCATTCAAAAAATATGGAGGCAGATCCCTGGTTTTCTTCAATTTAGACCAAATCAAAAGCTATGCACTTCAGTCTGGAAACAAATCAGATACAGTGGAACCTCGAGTCATGACCGTAATCCGTTCCAGGACTACGGTCGCAACCCAATTTGATTGTAACTGGAAGCACCACCGTCTGCATGTGCGTGGACAAAAACATTGGCGCTGAAGGGGAAATCGGTGTGGAAAGGGAATCTTTCCGCGCTGATTTTGTTTGCCACCCGATTTTTCAATTGTGACCTGATTCAAAAATTGGGTGGAATTTTCAGTCATTACCCGATTTGGTTGCGAACAAAAGCGTTTGCGACCCAAGGTTCCACTGTAGAGGCATCTGCACCAGGGTCATAAAAAAAAATCAAATGGCTGCACAATTGTATGATCAAGTAGCCACCTCTTTTTTTACATTTCTGTATCTATTTAAAATTGAAATCTCCTAGCACTTAGCTCTTTAAATAATAATGCTGCTTCTAATCTTTTTGTGGTTTTTATGAATTCATATTATTGGAATTGCTATTTGGAGGAAGAACATCCATAGTGGCATAACTATACTGCTATTGACATCTGCTGAACTATTTTGTATTAATTTCCAGATTCATTTAACTCCCCCAAAAAGCAATTCTAAACTGGAACTGGTATTTTTCTGCTTCACCATGTTCCTGAATTTCTAAAACATTGTAATATCGTGTATATTCCATTCTCTGTGATAGCTGAATATTTTATATTTAAATTTTTATTTGACAAAAAGAAATTTTCATTTTGGATCATTACCCAGCCAGAATAAATGTATTATGAATCAAATTGGCTCTGTCTTTGGGATCAAAAATACTGGGATTTGTCTTCAGTAGTTGAATTAGAGCACTCCAGTTATTATCATCATAATGCACAATATAGTAACCATTTCCGTTCACATTGAACTTCACCCACTCTATTTCATGAGGATACTCAATTACACCTACATAAAAAAGAAAAAGAGAGACAAAAAGAAAAAAAAAAGCATCAGTTTAAATTAATGCTAATTGCTAAGCATTCACAAGGATAAACATTATTGACTGACAATACTCGGGCAGCCATTTGTCTTTGTATTTTTTACATACGATCGGGGTACTTGCAGGGACAAGTAGCTCCTGCTCAGTACTATAAAGGACATCTTGTAGAGTAGTAAAATTGCATAAACTGAATTTTCACAGATCTGGCCCCAATACAGATACTTTCCTCCAAAAGCTATAAAAAGTCAAATTGATAACATGTACATGTTTCCCCGAAAATAAGACCAGGTCTTACATTAATTTTTGCTCCAAAAGATGCATTAGGGCATATTTTCTGATTAGGTCCTATTTTGGGGAAAATATGGTACTAAATGCATGGATGACAATCTTACCTGAGGTTTATTTTTGGGGTAGGGTTTATATTACGAGCATCCTGAAAAATCATGATAGGGCTTGTTTTCAGGTTGGGTCTTATTTTTCGGAAACATGGTAAGCATACTTCAGCAACATAAAATTTGTTCACATGCTACCTTCTATATCACAGTTTGTGAGGTATGGTTTATTCATTTGTTCCAGTTTCCTTGTTCTATATTATTAATCTAGATACTTAAAGCTAACCCCAAGAGGAGACAAAATGTTATTGGGCAAAGTTGCTAGGAATCTTCAGAAGTGTTATGATGACTGGAATGTGGCTTTATTATGACTGGACCATGTTAGAACCACTGAAATTTGCTCTTAGTACAGCATTTTCTAATTTTCAAAAGACACCATACCTGTCTTTTTATCCAGTAAGTATGTCTGCAAAGGGAGGGATGAGTTGTCATTGTTTGTGATATAAGAAAGAGGGATCTGCCACAGATAACTGGAAAAAACAAAAAGGTACACATTCTTAAATCCCAAAGTTCTATAAGGCTAATAAAACTATAATAGAGAAGTAACTTCCTAAATTTCTGTGAGCTTACTCATAAATTAATACACATTCATTAAACAATTGTGCAATGATAAAAATCAAACTGCAAATTGTTAACGTATCTAGAGTTCCTCTCTCTGTCCCAGTAGTTGAGCTTGCCTATTCAGAGCTTAACTATTTAGGCAAGAAGGTGATTTCAGGAGTACAAACTAATTTCTCTTTTCTATTACAGGTAGTCCTCGACTTCCAACAGTTCATTTAGTGTTTGTTCAACATTACAATGGCATTGAAATTTAGTGACTTATGACCATTTTTCAACTTACAACCATTGCAGCATCCGCTTGGTCATGTGATCAAAATTTGGATGGTTGACAATTAAATCATATTTATGACAGTTGCAGTGTCCTGGAGTCACCTGAACCAAAATCAAAGAGGAAGCTAGATTCACTTAATAACTGTGACGAGAAAAGTTGTAGAATGTGACAAAACTCACTTAACACTTATCTCAATTAGCAATGGAAATTTTTGGCTTAATTTATCTCAATTAGCAATGGAAATTTTTGGCTTAATGGCAATCGTAAGTAGAGGACTACCTGTACTCCTGTACTTTCTGCAAAACTATTATCCTCTCTAATTTAAATCTGGTCATACCAATCCAGAGCAATTTTGTTTTTCTGTCAGAGATTGTCCTTTAAAGAAAATGGCTTCCAGGCAAAAGCTATGTGATAATGATCTATTGACATTATCAGAAAGTGTGAGTTCAGGGTTTGTTTGTTTTTGCCTTGCCTCTTTTTAAACAGAATAAGTATGCAAAGCTTAGTGAAGACTTTTTGGTGTCCCAAGCAGAACACCGTGGAGAAAAATAAGGGTGGGAAGTTATCCATCCTTACTGTGGTTAATTGCACTTTTGAAAATGAGGCAGGGTATTAATGGCAGTACAGTCACAGGCAGATTCTTGTCTAGCTCCTGATATTCTGTAATTGGTGATTGGCGGAATTCAGAGTTTGATATAGAAAGAATCAAGTAATTCAATCTCAGGTTACATTCAAAATCACAATTGTGCTTTTGACACTTACAAAACATTTCTATTTTATTTTTTATTTTTTTAAAAATCAAATTCCCTTATCTAATATCTGTACATTATATTTGTTTTTAACAGTGTCAAGGCTATAGGTATTTCCTAGAGGGAATTTATTCTTTTTCAAGTTAAAGTATTTCCTCAATATGAAAAAAATCTAAATTGACAGAGACTTATGGGCAGATATTTTTAAAAATGCAATTTACCCCCCAAAAATGATTTCTGTCATACAATGTAAAGAATGAAATCCTGTGTTTGCAATATTTCTGCCTTATCAATTTAATGTGACATTATACATGACAAGTATAGCTGTTGCCTGTATGATCCATATGCTTGATTAGTTTTGAAAGTAGTGCAAAGATGAGGCCTAGCCAGGTAATGGCACTTACCTAACCTGACCTTCACCAATCTTAAGCAGCTAAACAGAATTATACTAGCATTTGGGTGGGATGCTACCAGGAAATCTCAGGATTGTATGCCAAACTGATATTTTTTTAAAAAATGCAGAAAGCAATTAACTACTTTGATAAATTACTAAGAAATCTATATAGCTGTGTCCATGGAATCACCAGGAGCTCAGCTCAGTTTACATATAACTACATTTAAGAAAGATAACAAAGTTTTCATTAGATTTCCATCTAACTATTATTTCCTCATATATACATAATTTAGTATTTATCCTATGTATCAGTCCTTTACCCTTTTAAAATCTAAAACATGGGCTGAGAAATCAAACTATGCAAATTAAAAAGGAAAAAAACCTTGAAGATAAGATTTGATCTCCCAGTTCTGTGTTATGCACAAATCTTTCCTGCTTTAAAAGGATTTTTTTCCCCTCCCTTTTGACAGTCACCAATGGAAATCCTTTCTGAATTGTCCAAGTGTTCATAATTTTTTTTACATCAGGGGTTCCACGTGTCACCTTAGGAAACAGATACACATGCAAAAAATGGTGGTGTCAACATAATCAATAGCTTCATGTAATTAAATACATAACTAAAGTTGAAATATAATTCTCAATAAAAGCTTGCTAATCATAGTTTAATACTATAAGTTCTACTTTGTAAGACTTTGTTATTTCTATACTGCTTTAGAAACACAATAAATAAAAGTTGTGCAGCATTTCTGGTTTAATCTCTAAAAGATACTTCACATTATGCCGAAGTGCAAACAAACATCAACCCCTGTTTCCAACACCTTGATGCAGCTTCATCTATTTGCAGGATATTGCTGCTACCATTTCAGTGGTCATACAATCCTTGAAAAGATCATGGCTGGTTTAACATAATTATTTTACTCATATTTCTAACAGTTTTTATTTATTAGATTTTTATCCTGTCTTTATTACTTCTTAGGAACTCAAAGCAACAAACATACAATACTTTCTCCTCCTATTTTCCCTAGAACAACCCTGTGAGGTGGATTGGGCTGAGAGAGCATAGCTGGCCCAAGATCACAAATTTTTAGAAGTCAAAGCTCAAATCCTACCCAGCATACAATAAATGCTACTTTAAGCATTCTTTCAACTATCATGTCTCCAAAAAGATTGGTAGAATAGAAGCAATATAGCTCTCAATAGCAAAATACCCCCAATACTCTCCATTGTCATAACAACAGAGAATACATAAGAAGTATAGACACAGGATCATAAAATTTTAAGACTTTTAAGGAGCTTTTATAATTTCTGTTTGGAAAGAGATATAGTTTAGTTTTCTGAAATGGGATCTGCCTGAATAATGTCAACCAGCCTTCTCCAACCTGACAACTCTACAAATTATTTGCAATACGCCAATTGCCATATTGACTGATAATTCTGAGGTCTGAAAGTCCAGAATAGTTCAGTTGAAGGAGGCTGTTTCAAATTACTAATCATAATTAAACCACCACTCAGGAACAAAGACAAAACTCTCGGAGGCCAATTTCTTCCTGATTAGTGGCTAGAATTAGAGCACTGCTTAAAGAAGAATCTTCTAATCCACAAAGCAAATTAACCAGATGGCAAATGATTTCTCAAAAGCTAGAAGCAGAAGCTGGGCAAATCTCCTGCAGAGGGAAAACAATCAAGGCAAGAAAGTTGAGATGGAATTTTCTTTTTACAAAAGACTGATGGACACTGGCTCTGTAATGTTTGAATATAAGAACATCCACACAGGAGAAAGATGGTTAAAAAAATGTTGAGAAATGTAGCATCTACAGCATGTCTTCTCCCATTCAATTTCTCCCGCTAAAGTTGAAACCTAAGTGACCTTTCTCCCCTTTCAGGAGATCCAGAATCTAAGAAAATGGTCTAGAAAAATCTAATCTATTCTTACTTATGGGTGACTGTCTGGTAAGTATTTCTGCCACAGTTCTGATTACTTTATAGGATAAAGAAATTAACACAGCAATATGATTAAACAAAATGTCTTTTCCCTCTAAAGACAAGAGAGGCAGCTCCACTGTACATATCTAAACTGAAGGCAATAATAATGGAGATGACTAGAATACAAGTGAATGTGTGTGAAATTAAATGATATAAACAGATTCATTCCACAGCTCATTCATTAATATGGATCAATTAGCCAACTGGTCCTGTGGAACTGAATGTTTACACTAATTTGAGAATAGTGATAAGATAATAGTCAAGTGTGTTTGACACCAGTCTGCTTTACCTTTGCTTAGCTTATTATAGTCAAGAATGAGACTATCTCCGTTTATAACAAGGAGGCTATACATTTCTCCTTAATGGAGGGACCAATAATAGACCTTTTAAAGGAAATAGTAATTAGGTTATCCTAAAAAGCAGACTTAAAACATATGGTTAATTGATTGCTGATATTAGTTGATTATTATATCCTCTTCTTTAGAAGGCATCCATAGAGATTTACCTTATTCATACTGTCCCATAAGTTATCGCTGTACGTGGAATTATAGCTGTAGTCATGCAAATAGATCTGAATGCCAGTTTGGAAAACATCTTTATGAAGATAGTTTTTTAACATAAACAAGAGAGAAGATCCCTGTCAGAAGAAAAACATATTATAAAGTTAAATGCAAAACTACAGTTCTAATTTTACACAAAAACATGATGATTAAATTAACTTACACAAAAACATGATGATTAACTTAAAACAAAACCTAACCCAGCAGAAATGGTTATACTTGAATGTGAAAGAGTTGATTTGAAAAGTGGAGAAAAGAGGGAAACAAATTTGAGCTGTTTTGAATTTAATGACACCTATTACTGAAAACAAGAGTGAACTAGAAAAATTTAAGGATGGAATGAAGCTGGATTTCTTCTTATGATGCTAAACATGGTTTAGAGCAGGAAGCTTTTTTAAAGAAAGGCTATAGTTTAGAAACACATTTTATCCTTCTGGTTTGAGCTTCTTCGGTGACAGACCAAAATCTGCGATTGTGCGCAGTTTTGATCTGTGCTCGCCGCTGGATCGCCCTGAGCCGTCTGGTTTCGGGGCTAAGCCACCCTGTAGAGGTGGTGAAGAGTGGGGAGATTGCCAGCAGGGTCGAGGAGAGTCACATCTCTATTCCCCAGCTGGCCATTACTCCCTTTCCCGAAGGCGGTTACAAAGGTGGTCAGAAATGGCCACCACAAAGAAGAACTCGACCAGAAAAGAATGTGCAGGAGGAAGATAAGAAGAGAACGTTTTGGCTGACTGGGTCAAACTGAAAAGCAACAATATAAGGTACCCTGGAATTTGAATTATAAAGAACAACATTGTTCCCAAAGAAGACTTTGAAGTGGTGAATGAGAGAGGGAAGGGAAAGGATTTGGTTTTTTTTCTTTTCTTCCCTATATTGACAACTAAGAGACTTAAGCAAGAAACCGGCAAAAATCCACTTTGACATTAACAGTTATTTAAGCTGAAAATAAAATGTCAAAGGGATAATAAAGATTTCTGGATTCTCAAAAAACTTTTTTAAAAAGGAAAAAAACAAAAGGGTGAGATCTGGAAAAATGGAGGAGACCACCCTGGAAGTGAAAGGAATTAACAGTGAAACTTTAACAAGATTCCTAAAAGTTACATTTTAACTGAAACTTTGTAACAAGATAAGAGAACTCCAGGAAGAGAAAGTAGAAAAAGAAGCAAGAAGAAACAGCTTTGGATTATTTGGATTACTTGGTGATTTTTGGATTTTTGACTATTGGATCTAAAGGACTAAAATTAATCGGGTGGTTGTTTAAAAGTTTTTAAAATGGTATCACTCTTAGAAGAATTGAGAATGGAACTTAAAAGACAGAAAGAAGAAGCACAAGAAGGAAGAGGTTCTTTTGGCTTCGTATTTCAATTTTTAGAAATGGAGATCCTGAACTATGAGAAACAACAAGAAATGCTTGTAGAACAAGAAGGGTGGGACAAAGAAGAAGCCATCTTCAATGACCAAGTATTTCTATGTGGGGAAAAGAAAGGAAAGGGGGGAAAGAGAGTGAAAAATTTAAGATTTGAAAAAACAACCCCAAAAAGAATAGTTTGAAAAGTAATTACAACATTAGGAAGAAACAGAAGAGAGGATTACAGAAGAGAGAATCAGAATTAGATAGAGAAGGGGTCAAAAAGGGAAGGGAGAAGAAGAGGGGGAAGAGGGAAAGGAAAAGAAATTATAAATGACAGAAACAGGATATAGAGAAACAGGGAAAACGAACAATGATTCAGGGTATAAGCCTATTTAGAAGACACAGAGATAATGGGTGAAAATTTAATTGAAAGGGGATTCTGCAAGGATACATAAGATAGTATTGTTATATTAGAAATAGAAATGAACTTTGAAAATATGAAACAAGTGTGATTAAAATGATAGCTAAAATACTCACTGTAATGGAATGGAATGTTTAATAAATAAATGAAATAAAGAGAATGAGAGAATGAAATTAGGAAAGGAAGGGAACACTTTAATTATTACAAATGTGTTATAAAAATTTAAGTGAAGAGGAATATGAAAGAAACATGAAAAAATTATGGAAATATTATAAGTATTCCTAGAAGTATGAAAAGAAATGAAAAGAAATGTTAAAGATGTTAAAGATTATAACTAACATTAATGATAGAGCTAAATTGGAATAGAATAACTATTTTATTTATTATTGTTATATAAATATATATATTTTCTCTTTAAGAACTTAGTGCGTATTTTAAGAATGTACCAAGCAGAATTCGACTGAAAGTTATGTGCTATATTGAATGTTATAATTGTAAAGGCATAAATTGAAGTTTAAATAAGAGTTGAATGGAAAAAAATTAAAAGATACAAAGGTGTCATACTCCAATTAGTAACTACAGGGAAAAATTGTGTTTAATGAGAAAAGAAAATATGAAATTGAAACAGGACAGACAAAAGTATAAATATAATGACTAGAAAGATATTGAAACTTAGAAAAAGATATATATAATTGAAGTTAGGAAGGAATGAGATAATTAAAAGTAAGATTGAGAAAACTAAGGGAAGGGAAAAATTATTGAGAAAATGTTAAAATAGTAATAAGATATGGAATAGAACACAAAGATGAATATGAAATTGAATTTGTGTCTGTATGGAGAAGTGATAACCCGGGACCATGCTATTCTCAAAAAAAGAAACTTTACTTGTATTATGTTTTGTGAAAACCCAAATAAAAAATTTATATATAAAAAAAAAGAAACACATTTTATAATGTTTTCTGATCTTCAAAAGCCCACTGATCATGGCAGGTTTACTACAATGAGAAGAATGGGAATTATACAAATTAATATTACTCCCTGAGGCTTGGCCCTTATTTTGGAATTTAATTGAGGGGGGGGGGGGCAGAGATGGGCAAACACCAAAATTATTTTGCAAAATGAGTTCACAGGAATGATTTGAATTCTACAGATTTCCCATCCCTGATTTAATGTTATATCCAAAAGCATTCAAAAAGCGCTGAAATCAAGAATTATTTAGGATGCCATCAGTAAAGAGAGAATGAAATTATTCTTTCTTACTCTTCATTTTTAAAGAGATATTTCTAAAACCAAGCATTTGTCTGCTAAAGCAAATCAGATTAAAAATAGTTCCCAATAGGACATATATTTTCCATTTGATTCTCCTGTCAACGCCTCCCTCCTAATTCACTTCTGAAATTTTTTTTCCCTTTGGCTACTGACATTTTGAAATCACATACTAAGAATGTGATTTGAAATAGATCGGTGTCAACTTTGCAAATGCATTTAGTTTTATTAAAACCACATTTACAGGATATTTGAAGTTACCTTGATGTAGGAGACTATATCAAACATTTGTTCAATCTCTGCTGATGAGTTGACAGGAAGGGTAACCGGGTGAGATGAATTCATGGAATCTTTCTCCATGGTCTTAAATTGCAGATTTAAAAAAATGTCATCCTAAGGAATTGAAAGGCATTTAAGTTAAAATGAACATTAACTAAACATCATAAATTTCACTAGTGAATAAAGATTGTAAGATTTTTTTTCTAATTATCTGGTAGGTCCTGTGAGATTTTCTTTTTCAAATTATTGTATTTAGTTCCTTGTTCTTACTTTATTATTACATTTATAACTTGCCTTTTCTCTTGGAGTTCAGGTCAAAACATGCATATTTTTCATTACATTTTCCATCAATGTTGTGGAATATGTCAGCATGAAAAATATCATCTGGCTCAAAGTCACTTGGCCAGTTTTATATTTGAAAAGGGATAAACAATTGCACTATTACAGGGGTCGCCAACCTTTTAAAACTCAGGGACCACCAAACTCATAATTTTAAATCCTGCGGACCAGAGACCCTGGGAAAATCCCAAAAAAAGTCTGCAGTAAAATTCCCCACCCCGTTTTCCTACCAACCGATCATTCTTTATTTTGAATCTCAGGATACTGTCTCCAGCTCCATTCTCAGAGGGAGAGAGAGACTTTTGGCTTCATGCAAGGAAAGCAGCAGAAGCAGCTGAAGTCTTTCTCTCTCTCCCTCAAACTCTGCCAGAAATGAGTCTTTGGCGGCGCAGCCTCTTGGAACAGGATTGCAGGGTCCCAAAGACTCATTCCTGGTGGAGTTTGGGGAGAGAAAGGAAAAGTTTTGTTATTTTCCTTGCGTGCAGTCAAAAGCAGAAGAAGCAGAAAGAAGAAGCCCGGTGGCCAGGCCAGGCATGTGGGGCACGTGGGGCAAGTTTTCCCCCCTTCCCCCCTTCCCCTCACTACCTTGTGTTGTTCACAATGCAAGCGACGCAAGCCTTGTGTTCCCATGCAGCCTGGATTAATTGCTTTAGAGGGTGCTTTGGGGGTGACATTTCTCTGCGGACCACCAAAATTTTCTCGTGGACCACCAGTGGTCCCCGGCCCACTGGTTGGCGACCACTGCACTAATAGATCTGCTTCTTTAAGTTATACTAGGCAAATAACACAGAGGCCCAATCATTTGATAAAAAGTACATGTGAATGATCATGTATTCCTGAAAAAAATGAGTCTGGGAAGAGGCAAAACAAGAGAGTACAGGTAGTCCTCAACCCACAACCACTATTTAACTTGAAATTTTGGTCATAGGTTATTGTGGTTACCCATGTGGCTACTGAATGACCCAACTCTTCCTACTGTGGTAGTTAAGTAAATGTGTAGGAGTGCCTCAGGGGCTTTGAGCCCCCCATTCCTTGAGGGGCACTCACTGTCACATGAAACCTGCTATGGGCTGAAAAGCTAGGCCCAGGTGCGTGCAGGATTCCTTCCTCATCGCTCCACTCCCAAAGCCATTTTCTTGCCCCATCACATTCAGAATGACTCAGCTGGTTAGGTCTAGCGGCACACAGGCATCCTTAATCCTCCCACCACCATGCCCAAAAATCCTGGCACTGTCCCACATTCTCCACATCTAAGGCAATCTGCTCCAGGGTGAAAGTCCTCAGGCAGCTAGGCTCAGCAGCACACAGGCCTCCTGCCTCCCCTCCATCACTCCAAGAGGCCTGGCTTTCTATCTCTCTTGCACCACTCCCAGAAGGCCTCAGATGGCTAGGCCCATTGATGTGCAGAAACTTGCCATGAGCTGGAAGGCCTCAACCAGCTAACACTTCCAAGAAGCCTGGCCTCTCTGTTCTACCATGCCCAGAACCACTTACCTTTCCCTTTCCTTGCAGCTGTTGATAGGCATATCTAGTTGATGCAAAGCTCAGCTAAAAAGCTATTATGAAGGCAATCTTCTTTAAGGGCTGACCAGCAACAGGAAGTTCCTGCTCCTGGCCAGCCTTTAGAACAGGGGTATCAAACTCGCGGCATCATGGTGGCATGACATATTCAGTGGTGGTATTCAGTTTTTTTCCCTACTGGTTCTGTGGGCATGGCTTGGTGGGGGAGGGTCATGTGACTGAGTGGGCATGTCCAACTTGACATCACTCACGTCCACACCCACTCACTCACATGACCCCCACCATGGCGGTGGGACTGAAGCTCTTTTTTGGCGCATTCAAAAAGCGGAGGCTTGTAGTTTTCGGTGCAAGAAGCTCCAGCCAGCCAACTTGGTTCTGGCTGGCAAAGAGGCTGGGAGGCTTCTTGCATTGAAAAAAAGAGGCAGTGGCCATAGGCATCTCGCAACAGGGGGGAGGCGAGATGCGGGCTGGCGGGGAGCCCAGCGGCTCTCAGCTCTAGCTTGCCTTCCCTGGCAGCCAGCCACGGGAGGAAAGTAAGGTCATGGCCATGGACAACAAAAGTGGCAGTCGTAGGAGAGGAAGTGAGGAAATTAAGGGCCAGGGCCTCTGAAGGAGGGAAAATGGGCGACGCATCGTGCTTAAGGGAGAGCACGTGTCGAGCGGGCGGTGGCTCTGGAGCAAGGCTGGAGCTGGGGAATCACGTGTTCCCTGACCCAGCGGCTCCAGGGCCTTGGGGAATAGCACGTCCCCGGGCCCGACCCACAGCGAAGGGTCAGCGGGCAGCATGCATTGCCTACCTTTGGTGAGCTGAGCTGACCAGGCATCAACAAGGCAACTGGCGAGGAGATTAGCCTGGCCATGTGGCGAAGGCAACATATATAGGGCAGGGGTGGGCGGGGCGAGCATCAAGCAGCCGGAAGGGGTGAGTGAGTGGCAACCGGGAGACCAAGTCGGGGGAATGGCCAGCCAGAAGTTGCTACTGGTTCGGAGACCCAGGCCAAATTGTTGCCACTGGTTCTCCTGAATCGGTGCGAACCGGCTGAATACCACCACTGGACATATTGGGACTTTTTTCTCCCTCACTAAACCGGGCAGGGGCAGGGGCAGGGGCAGGGGCAGCATATGACACATTCGGCCCACGGGGCATAAGTTTGACACCTCTGCTTTAGAGGGATTCCTCTCTAGCCTTATGTGGGGGAGGAAGAGGCCAGGGTACTTGGGAGTGGTGGGAAAACAGAAGGCCCGTGCATCGCTGGGCCTAGCCTGCTGAGGCGGGAAATTTGTATGTTCAGACTTGCAAGATTTTGTTGCTGAAACCTTACAATAAACTACATTTAGCTCATCTACTTGTTTCATGTTTACCTGAGAGAATTAATATCATTTTTGCAAGTCTGAAGGTACAAGCTTCCCAGTGCCACTTTCAGGCCTCTGGTCAATTAGGGTGGGTCTTTCTAAGTTTCCTCCTCTGACTGTTAAGTCTTTGGGGGCTCCTCCCTCTCATCTGATTGTTTCCTAATCTCTTTCCTTTGCTCTCACAAGGTCATATACACCTTCAATTGTACAAATACATTTCTAAATAATATAATCAGTTCTAGCTTCTGAGACTAAATAGGGAGACAAATCAAGTCAAAAGATTCTAGACCCACACAATAACACATGAGAAATATGCAAACCCACCGATTCTCCAAGCACTTACAGTATACAAATCTGGAAAGATGATCTTCATGGCAAGATTTTCCATAAAAGTAGCAAATCCTTCATTCAGCCACAGGTCATTCCACCACTCCATTGTTACCAGATTACCAAACCACTGCAAACATAAAGCACATATTTTAACTCTATTGTTACTTTTTGTGTCAAAAGAAGGACCATTAGGCTGAGCTATATACAAGGACTTCCAGATCTATTCCAGTCTATTGGTTCTAGTCAGAGATAGCAAGAATTCAGCTCAAGACATCTTGGGGGCTACCATATCGTTATCTTAAAAATGAAAAATGAAACATTCTAAAAAACCAGTGTGTCCGCTTCGCAAAATAACATTAATCATTACAACAGGAAATAGAACAAAAAGCTTGTACTGGGGCTATATAGATTTCTTTAGCTAAACAAAAAGCCACATAATTGACTATATGATTTTTAATAAGTGCCTGTGCTGATAGCTTATGGTATGTTAATGTTCAATTAAGCAAAATATTCAGAAACATCTTACTTGCAGGACACAGTAACAATATATACAGGAAAAGCCACGTTAACCACCTAACTTGAGAGCCACAGCCTGTACATACCGGTAGCTGACATGTATTTCCAATTTGTTATTGTCTGCGAGTCCTTCTTGTGTTTTTTCGTGCACAAATTAGTACCGTGTTTCTCATATAATAAGGCCGGGTCTTATTTTTTTTTGAGCCCCGAAAAAATGGCTAGGCTGTCTTTTCGGGGGTGACTTAATTCCCCCCCCCCCTTGCATCTTTGGGCGGGCGGGCAGCGACAGCTTGGATGTTGACCTCGGCGTTGGTGAGGCACTTAGTATCGGGGTCAACGCAGGCAGCAGCATATCCGGGTGTACAACAAAAGTACTTCCTAACGGCAAGCCCCCCCACCATTCCCCCCATTTCGCATGTTTTAATATAGGCCTTAATTTGGGGGGAGGGGCTTAATTTCATTTCATGCCTATAAAACATGCTAGGACTTCCTATTGGGGGAGGCCATATTGTTGGAGAAACAGGGTATGCAATTTTTAAACATCCTCCCTTTCCTTAAGACTTTCATATATTTTGACTATATAACAAGAAAGGAGGAAGACTAAAATAAGGTAATTTCAGGATTCTCAATTCTACTGCTCCCATATTGCATGCCATACACTCTTGCTAGTAATAGTATCACATGGAAAAAATAAAGAAACCACTTCCCATTTAAATGTGTCAGTGGCAGAATTAGCTTATTAGAACAATGGAATAAAAATTGCAAAAGATAAGCTTTCTTGTAGACTACCAGTTTTAGAATTTCAATTATTTAAAAAGAAAAACATCTATCGTACAAAGAAGTATATTTCATACCTGATGGGCTAGCTCATGAGCAATTACTGTTGTCACTCTCTTTTTATCAATTGCTGAAGAAGTATTATTATCATAAAGGAGTGCTGTCTCACGGAAAGTGATCAAACCCCAGTTTTCCATACCTGCAGCCTGAAAATCTGGAAGAGCTACTAGATCTGGAGAAAGAAGGAATAGTTATTTTAGATACACTGGCAGCATTCACTATTTACTAAGCCTATTGAATCTTGCAATCAAATATACTGATATATATGATATCAACATATAGAGTAAATCAGCCAGCTGGATGACTTTGAGCCAGTCAATCTCTTTTAGCACAATCCACCACAGTGTTGTTGTTATGGGGAAAATAGGAGGAAGGAGATTATGTGTATTCCCCATTTTGAGATGGGATATAAATAAATAAAATATTTAATTTCATGAACATATCTACTGTCCCTCCTGAACTTCTTGTCATTTTTAAACAACATATGATCAATATGTCTAAATATTTAATCTATCCTATATCTTTTATAAATTATTTCTTTTAAATTCTTAAACAGGCACATATATAAATATGTCTTCTCAAAATGCTTAATTTTGAGCATTCACCATTTTTAATCATATAATAATGCAATGAAGCAGTCTCTCTTGCTTACAACGTACCAAAATACCTTATTGCTAAGAATTAGGCTACACATTTGTCATTACTGTAAACTAATAAGACACTCAGACTGACTTGACAGATGGGCAGCACACAAATAAAATAAGTAAATATTACATTTTGCCTCTTCATTAAAAGCTCTGTTGCAGTATTACATTATTATGTACATTCACCTAGTGTGTATACACATAGCAGAAACTAAAATGTAATAACTTAATTGTATTTAATTTTATAAATGGATGTATCTTTCTATCATATGTTTTGTTGTTGTTAGTCGTGAAGTCGTGTCTGACCCATCGCAACTCCATGCAATTTTATGTACTCATTTATTTTGCCTATTTACTACTTTTGCTGTTATCATATCTCACCACTATATTTCCCACCCTAATATTAGCTATGATTTCTAAAAGGCATTTTTGTTTCCCATGAATGTGCCCTCTTAAGAGTGTATGATAAAGAAAATTCATTAAAATGAGGTCAAACTGAAGTTTTATTTACTCTAAGCATTCAATTCCCCAAATGGCCAACCTACGACCCACCATGCCTACAGCCAGGTGAAATGAAAGCAACAGCAATCTCCTCGTTTGTTTCCTAGCAAATAAAAATTTATTGGCAGCCTTAACTTTACCTCCGGGTTAAACTAAGACTTGTTAACAGTAATATCAGTAATGATGCAGTTAGCAAAAGGAAGATAAAAACTAAGGCATCACTTGTTTTTCTGCTGGACCTGTTCCCTTCTCAATTACTCTTGTTATATCTACACTTCTATTTATTGCCATTAATTCTGGTCAGTTTTATTGAGATTAGATAGAAATCACCTGTGCTCTTTAGGCATTCTCTTTAATTATGGTCATACTTGGCATTAGACACAAGCTGCTCCTCATCACCCCCCAAAAAGTGTTGTGCAAGTTATACTACTGATGTCTGCCCCAATCAATGCTATTGTAACTTTTAGATAAACAATCACCTCATTGTGTTATTGAACTGTACGGTCATTGAATTCACTAGGAGATACAACTACATGTACCAAGAGCTGCTAAGTGTCATTTGGCAGGTGCTCATATGTGGCTTTGTGTTGGTACCCATATTTTGGAATGTTTTCTCCCTTTGAAATTTAGGAGGCAATTACTGTAACAGTCAGTTTGATGACAGGGTTAAGGCACCAGGCTAGAAACTGGGAGACTGTGAAATGCTATTCCTGTCTTGGGCACAAAGCCAACTGGTAATTTTAGACCAGTCACTCACAGACCTAGGAAGAAAGCAATAACAAACTATTGATGAAAAACATTGCCAAGAAAACTGTAGGGATCAATCCAGTCAGTTACCAGAAATCAGCACTAACTCAAAGGGGCAAAAGGAAAAAAATGCTATAAAATCTTTAGCCACCTGATAAAAACTTACTCTTCATCCAGGACTTCCTGATATGAATGTTGGAATACTATTTTTTATTTTTTTATCCTCTCTTCCATCCCTTTAATGAAGATATTTTATGGAATGCTGTTTTTTTATATTATTGTTTTATATTGTTTTATCGTTTGTTTATTATAAATTGCCTTTAGATGCTTTGGCATTTGAAATTATTTATAAGTACATTAAATCAATACATCAATAAATCTGTAATGTATGGGATTGACATTTGAAATTATTTAGAAGATTCACATAGGTCAAAGCACAGCAGGAAGAATTAACCTTTATTTCTTTATGCAGAAAGATAAAATTGTTTCCCTCATAATTTTCAACTGGGTACAACTACTTCTTCAGCTTATGAATTAGTTTAACTGATTTGTCTTGATTATTATTTCCAAACATCTTTGCTTTTTTTAAAACAAAGGGGGCAATAGGAGAGCAATCATAGCTTATGAACTAATAGAAGTCTGACATCATTTGGAGTCTTTGTATACAAACCTTTTAAATCTTTTTACAAAATGAATCAGAGTTTTACCTCCCAATTGAAATAAATGTTTTAATTTATTTTTCCCTGGATTACTAAACGTGTCTAAAAATTCCACAGTTATGTTCAAACTTGCCCTTGCCTTTAAAAATATTTTTATAAGGGAAGCATACAATGTTGAATCTGATAAGAACAATCGCTCACCTATTTTGTTAAATGGGTATGTTATGTTAAAATAATTCTGGTAAAATTCAAGAAGCTTCACTGCTGTGTTTAAGGCATATTCAGTCTGCCCAAGCTTTTGTGGTACAGCATAAACAGATACCTGGCACAATGGGAAAGAGAGAATAAATCAGAGGACAGTTTCAATGGAATTCAGTTTTTCACTGTCTACATTACTTAGTGAAAAAACCTAAAGATTTTCTATAATAGTTGATAAGCAACATTAATAAGAGGGTACATGGATAACCAAGTTTCATTATTTATGATAAAAAAGATTAACATTATCTTAGATTCATTTGTATAGCATATTATAAAGCAAAATGTAAGATGTTTTCCTTGTTTTTTCATTTCTAAAGACTCATATCCTGATAGCAGAGGAGTCATTTCTATGATGTTAATATATACATGTTCACAGATCAGGTCTGGACCACAAGTTGGGTATTTCTCCCCTTCCTTCAATCAGCATTAACAGGAGTGACTGAGATTTCCCCCAGATAAAAATAAATCTCATCAGGTGGAAATAAAAGGAAGTAGTGGGTAAAATAAGAACTAAAGAAAAGCTTTACACTACTCAGTCTCTTCAGATTTAGGCCAGCAAATGGATCTTTCATCAAGATGATTCCTAACATTTCACCTCTAGCCCTGACAAAAATAAGCAAAGAAATTAACATACCCTACTGAATGTTGTAATAATTTGATATGATCAAAAACAAAGCAACTAAGGTAAAAAAAAAAACACCTATAATCTACTTTCAATAGTGTAATGACACAAGCTAGTGAACAAGACTAATTCAAATCTAAGAAGTGTAACATACTACACGGGGAAATGAGTAGGTGTTTTTGGAAGGGTTACAGGAGCAAAAAAGCCCACCTACCAGAATCCCATTAGTTTTCTTATTGATACATTTGAAGTTTCCAACAATGACAGCTACTAGGTAAGTGCTCATTTTCAAGCTCACAAAGAATTCATCTTGAAATAATCCATTTGCCAAGAGATTGGTTGATTTCTGGAAATACAAACTGGAGATCAGAATTCAATTATGTAAACAGAAGCTGCTGGTCCTGGAACATAAATCATAGAAGCCATCTGTTCTCTGCTGAGATACTTGAAAAATGACTAATACCCAAAACATAATATACAGAACGTTGTTATTTCCTATGACTGCACTACCCAACAGTTAGCAAATTTAGATTATACCAATAAATCTAAGAAGTAAAAATCAGTTCAGTATAGAGCAAGTTCATCTGCCAGAGTTGAACCAAAAATAATAAGCACTGATTTTATAAAGGTATTTGTTCGGTATCATGAATGTGTTAACTAAGAAAGAAATATTCATCCAGAGTATTAGCAGGAACCACTGCTAATACTCAACTTATCTTTTGGTTGCATGATGCTTTCACACAAACACAATTTACTTCATGATATGATCTCAGCCTGTCTAGGGTTCTTTCAAGATTGCTCTTACAGTACATTACATTAACTTAATATACAGTTTATTAAGAGTAACAAGGCCGGCAAATTTGCAAACCATCATGAAAACAGGAACTTGTAGCATGAAAGCAAATTGTGCAAGCAATTTAATGAAGAATTAATTATCAGTCTCCCCATTTTTGCTTTTATTTCAATTTCACTTGAAAAGATCAGGATAACCCACAGGTAGGGCATATTATGCACAAAATGATGCTACATGATAGCAAAGTTAAAAAGACATTCTAGAGAACATTCGTTAGGGTGCCAAATAATTGCACTGTAAAATTTCCAAGGGGAACAGTCTAATTCCACTACTAATCAGCTACTAATCAGCTAGCACTGCATTCTCACAATAATTAAACTTTGATACCCAAGCAAGTCATTTAATTAAATAAACAAAGCAAAAAAAAAAAAGCCTTAGGATACATTGTATTTCTATTTTATAGTACAGTAATTATTTCTAAATTCAAATAAATGTATACTAATTAGCAAAAGAAAACAATTTAAACATTTAACTCTTTTGCTTTATTTTTTCATATTTCAGGCTATTATCAGAAATACCATAAATTCGATAATCATATATAATCAACTAGATTTCTATAGTGGTACACTCTACAATTATTCATGTTGATGTATAATAAAAATCAAATTTATGTAATGCAAACACTAAGAATCTACAATTATCGAAGTATTTTATAAATTACTGAAATAAAATTAATAATATCATCACAGAGATATATCCTAATTAAATGTTCTTCTGAACATATTGGTTTCTAACATTTCCTAGATGTCAGAAGTGGTGGAGTCACCCAGATTTCTAATGAAAGGCTACTATATATGTGCCAAAACTGAGAAACAAAATGTCCTAGTTTCCACTTTGATCCCATAAGGGGGAGGAAGAACTCTCCATCTCAAATTGCGACATGTGTACTGCATGCATAAGATCCACTTAAAGAAACTGCTCCTTTAAGAGGCCTGGTTCCAAGCCATGTAAGGCTTTAAGTCTGGACCACATTAGTCAAACCATGATGGGATTCAGCTTAGTTCAAAATCCACCCCCCACCCCCCAACACACACATACACATTAAACAAATCACTATAGTCTTCCAAGCACTAGGTTGATTCCCACTGCATTACTGCTTGGCCAGGGTGGAGATATTTAATATATAGTGATGATACAGTGGCCTCAACCAGCAAATGAATAACAGAGTTGGAAGGGACCTTGGAGATCTTCTTGTCCAAACCCTGCTCAAGCAGCAGACCCTATACCATTTCAGACAAATGGCTGTCCAATCTCTTTTTAAAAGCTTCCATGATGAAGCACCCAGAGGTTTCATCCATTCCTTCTTGTCTTCCTTCTGGTGTTTCAGAAAATAGGCTGACCCCTCTTCTTTGTGTCAGCTCCTCAAATACTGGAACACTGTTATCATGTCACTCCTAATCCTTCTTTTCACTAGATTAGACATACTCAATTCCCGCAACCATTTTCCTATGTTTTAGCCTCCATCTCCATCTTGTTGCTCTTCTCTGCATGCTTTCCAGAGTCTCAACATCTTTTTTTTTTACTTTGTGGTGACCAAAACTGGATGCAGTATTCCAAGTACGGTCTTATTAAGGCCTTATAAAGTGATACTAACACTTCACATGATCTTGATTCTATCCCTCTGTTTTAACGCAGCCTAGGATTTCATTGGCTTTTTTGGAAGCTGCAGCACACTGCTGGCTCATATTTAAGTGATTGTCCACTAGAACGCAAAGATCCCTCTCAGTTACTGCTATTGAGTCAGATTTCACCTAATCTGTACCTGAACAAATTCACATTACATTTTTTTCCACTTTCCTATCAACCTCTTCTATCCTCAAACTTTCCTGTTGATTCCTTCTCACCCCACCACGCTTACTAAACTGATGAAAGTAGGAATCTCGCCTTCTCCCCCCAGAGGGGCTTCATTTTAAAAATAAGACATAAAATTAAACCGCCCAATCATTTGTGGCACTTCCTTAGTGACTATGCCCCCAATGACAATCTGTTTTAAGTTACTGGTGTCTAAGCTACTCAAGGCAGGACCCAGGGCTATGGTCTACATCTCTTGGCACCACCAACTGATCTCACTTATTACAGGCAATCAGTAGTCTGGCCTTTCAACCAGCTAAACACTCATTCTTCCTGCAGCCTTCTCAGTCGCCTAGGCCAAATGTTAATGAAAAGATTCCTCAGCTATTCTTTCCCCAGCTACTTTTTCTCCACCCAGACTGAACAGCTACTTCTGAACCACACTGGCATGGACTTTAATGAATCCTGTTCTTATCTCCTTTCCCATTTTCTCGCTTTTTCTTTCATTTTATAATCAACTGCCACCATTACAGTGCTCTCAATCTTATGTCTAATCCCAATCCTATTTCAACCAATTTCATCATGCCTTAATTTTTTCTAAAATCTTGTCCTACCTATTCAACTGAGTCTTATTCAGTAACATTAAAACTCTAATAAAAGCAACACTTGAATCATTTTCTCTTTCTTCTGTTTGCTCTCACATTTTCACCCTTCATAGCCAACCACCAGCATCCAACCTACTTCTTTGTTCTTTTAGTTTAGTGGGACCCTATATAGCTGAACTAACACACACAGATGTCAGGTTTGGAAAAATGGTCACACGGTTCAAAACTCACCCTTTTATTGATCACCCTTCTTCCTTCTAATCCTGAAATCTAATTTTGCAGATCTGTCAGCCACAATTTTGGGGGGGAAATGTTACCATGTCCTTCCATTTAACAGAATATCTCTGCATCACACTTTCTTTTTTTCTAGGCCTTACAGTAATTAAAAATCAGTCCACTGAAATGCATAATCAGTTACAAAATGCAATTTCTAATTCTATTGACGAAAAGGAGAAACATACTGCCTGTTCACATCCTATGTGTGGGATTCCTAGTACAATCTAGCAAGCTTCCAAGGGAAAGTGGAAAGTAGACTAAATCAATCTTTTAGTTTTTCTTATCTTCTAAAGCTACATTTACCTTTTTTATTGTGGAAATACAAAAATGCAACTAATAGACACATAAATTCATAAAATAAAGTTCCTTTCCAAGTAATACAATTTTCCTGTTCTGTGGTACACGTCATGAACATGTAACTGTATAAATATCAAACTATAAAAAAGTTATATAGCTATATACCTTTGGCATATTTGACAGAGCAATGTGTTGATCTTCTCTGTTGATTTTGACTTGAAAATTGGCTTTGAATGCTGGTTCATCAAAACAAGGGAATGCTGCTCTTGCTGACAAGGGTTCAAACTGAGTTGCTGCAAGCCAACTGATAAAAAGAAACACATTCAAATCTGATTTCTTTTTAATTTCTACAAGATATGTTACATAATTTAGAAATAAAATTTGGAGAAAAAAATATAATTCTAACCATGTTACTGTTTCAAAAAAGTAAAATGCTACCCCACCTAGAATCGTGAAAGGATCTCACAAGCCTCAATAGATTCCTGCTCTTCAGCTCCCCCTATGGCCGCTTCTGCTACTGCAGCCCTGTCAGTTTGCAGTTGCCTCTCTCCTCTCGATAACAGCCGTTCCTCATTTGGGCAGGAAATTATGTAGGGCGCCATTTCTTTATCATTTTGCTCTTTCCCTCGAGCCCACACTTTATCCAGCACCTTGTTCCTGCGGCATTCGTCCCTCTCTGCTGCCTTGGAGCCCTTTCGGGTTTCTGCAGCCTTGTCCTTTGGCTTGGGGCTGTAAAATGAAGCCATCTGTTCTGGGGCTGCTGGGCTTAGAGAGCGTGACAGCTGTCGAACCACCCCCTCCCCTCTCCTGACATTGCGGCTAGCCCTTTGTGATTCTGCCATCTCTGATGACGATCTTACTCTGGAGTCACCCCGAGCACGCTGCAGCCTTTCACTTTCCTAAACCTACTCTCACTACCTGTACTCTTCGCTGCAGGTCTTCTGCCCCTTTAAAGGCTACTGCAGTTAATCTCAGCTTCTCCAACAGCTGAAACCGCTGGGAGCCTCCCAAGCCAAAGTGCGGGAAGGAGATGAGGATGGTATTCAAACTCCTTCCGCAACCAGAACCTTAGTACCTTGTAGATCAGCCCTCAGCCGATCTGAAGTCCAACGCTGCAGTTTGACAGCTGTCAAAGTGGTAGACCGGTTCTGGCTTGCAAAAGAATTCAGGATTGGTGTTTTTATTCCTATTTTTCCAATCAATTTGAAAGGGTTTGTTTAAATTTGCTAGGAGAAGAAATTAACACGTCATCCAACAAGCTGACTGAGTCAATTTCTGGGGAGGTCCCTAGCAGCAGAGGGAGTGTCATCAAAGTTTTGACAGACTCAATCCAATCACAGGCAGAGACTGATCACCCAATCCTGAATGCTATCTCCACCACAATGGAGAAAAATATTTATCCATATTTCCTGAAATTTTACAAGGCAATACATGTGTTCAACAAAATAACTTTTATATTAACAACAACCACAATCCTTCATTATTATTACTCAGGTATTTTTGTATATAATTATCTGAAAACTAGGCCAGGTACATTACTACTAACATTATTAAATCTATTGTGTTCAAATTTTACCATTACACGTTACTATGTACATATGCACCCATTTTCAGTCTGCCTATTGTTCAGTTGTTGCTGGTGTTAATAAATAATGCAGACAAATCTACAGAATTCCTACCAAAGTAAAGCACAAGCTAGATGGGAGCCATTTCTCCATTTGTCAAACTGCTATATGCCAATACTAGCCAAGGAGTAACTTTCTCTCAGTCAGATGGAATGCCAAATAGGTTGATGAAGGAAAAATGAAACATTGAACCACTCCTTTCAGTAAATTACATTTTATCTGCGCTTCACTCTTTATTATTCACCAGACTGTCACACTTTGCCAATATCATCCAACTCAATGGCCTAATATCACTTGGCCATAAGGTCCAGCCATAAACATGCTCTGCTTGGTCCAATTTAGTACAATACTATTAGTAGTGATTGGCAACAGTCTTTCTGGATTTAAAGCAAGATGCTTCCATGAAAATATCCAGATTTAAATCAGAGATTTATTTATTTTTGCATGCCAAGATGTTCTAGTTCTAGATAAGCAATAATGTTTATTTCTACAATAAGATTCCGCAATATAGATAATATTAAAACTAATCTATAAAGATGAATATAATTATTTTAGCTATTTTATGTGCTAATCAGGAAGCCAGATATTTTAGTATGAAGAGAAATTTGAAAACAAATCAACAGGAAGAAAACAGAGCTACAGTACATCAGAGATGTGCAACCTTTTTCCAGCTGTGTTCTTCTGTTGGTTGTTAAGCAATATGCCAAGGATGGAAATTTAAAAAAATAGTAATTCCAAGACAAAAAGCAGAAGCATTTACAAAAATTGCTTCTGAATTTGCTTATTCTCTTTCTTTTAATAAATTCCAAACCAGAAATTTAAAATTTGGCAGCAAATGTCTCCATTATTTAGGTATAAGGCTTTCAAAAGTTGCATGTAACCCCAAGGCCTCAGGTTGTGTACCCCTCAATACATGCACATAATTTTTTTTCCAGTTAAGATAAAAATAAATTAGTTTTAACCTTACCTTGCTGAGTTGTTATTCTTAAAGGCAATTTTGTAAAAGCCAGAATAAGTGTCTGATAAATTAGAGGAATACTCTATGCTGATATTATATTTATCTCCTACAAGAAGAGCTTCTGGAGCTATAATTGCAATCTGGTCATTCATTGGGTATTCCAGGAAATCGACTGGTTTTGACTGGCTTGAACTCAGTGAAGCAAGTGTTACCTTGGTAATATTAAGCTTTGAACTATGAAGTATAACATGCATAGTAACCTGGAGGACCTCCACAGTTATTTGAACAGAACCTGTAAATCTCATTGTGGTTAGATTTGGCTGCAGAACAATGTCATAATGGCTTGGAACAACAAATTCCGGAAGCCTAAAATGAGCCCATGGAAACAGTTTTCCATTAGTTGCCAAAGGATATATATCTTCCATTGTGTGGTTTTTGTTGTGACAACCTTCTTTAGTAAAAGTGCACTTGGGGAGAAGATAGATCGCCATGATTACGGAGACAGCAATCACAAGAACAACTGCACAGATTATTGTGGTCCTTACAGATGGAGCAGAACACGATCCATCTGAACGTTGCCTATAACCAGCCATATTACTTCGCAGACCAGTACTTCTATTCATGAAAGACATTCCCAGAAGTTTGGCTGATGACGATTCATAATCCTCTTCATCCTCATCCATTTCATGATCTCCAAGACCACGTACAAGAAGACGAGAACTTTTTGGTTCATATTCTACCTCATCGGGCTCCAAAGGATGCAAGCTAGGCTCTTTAGCCAAGTCAACCACATCAGGCTCTTCCTCAAACATGCTGTTTTCAATCATATTTCTAGGTAACTGAACTCGATCTAAGAAACACAAAAACAACATGTTACACAAAAAGTAACTGAAATAGCTATGGTTGGGTTTTTGATTATTTTACATATAGCTGATAAAATTGGGGAATATATTATAGTTCTCATATAAGAAACTATTTGCAATGTATCTATAAAGTAACAACTCAAATAACTGCTGTAATAGCTGATGAAGAAATAAATGAATCAAAATGCTTTGGTGATTTCTTCATAATAAAAATGAATGTTCAGAGATAGAGTATACAATTCAGACTGGATCTAACATTACATCAATAGAAAGCTACTTGCAAAGTGGGAGTTCTATAGTCTAGAGCAGGGGTGTCAAACTCAAGGCCTGGGGGCCGGATCCAGCCCATGGGGTACTTAGATCTGGCGCAGAGGGCTGCCCTGGAAACAGCAAAGGACTGGCCTGCGGTGCCTTTGCCAGCAAAAATGGAGCTCGGGAGGGTCGCAAAAGGCTGTTTTCACTGGCAGAGTACTCAGGCCACCACAGGCACTTCCAACATGAGTGACATCAAGCTGGCCTTATCAAGTTGACAAAAAACTATTTTCTGTTCCCCTCTTAAATATAAATACCTTCCACATATTATTGGAGTTTTCTGTCTTTAACAAGCATAGTGCTTTAATGCAAAATTTAAAAATAAAGAGTAACAAACAGCAAACATTCATCAAATACTGTACTGGATTACATCTGCATTATATTTTATAAAATAAAACAAACTAACTTTATATGCATGCAACTCTGCTCAGTTACAAGGGAGTATAATTCATATTCAAAAATAAAAGTTTGTGTTGTAAGGTGATTTCACTGAATACACAGTTCTATAGCAAAACGTGCAGCAATATATTTATTATATAGCCCTCAAATCATTTGCACTAAAATAGACTTAGTTTACCCTCACCTAGAGTAACCAGATTAACATTATTCTAACATTACGTTTAGGTTGACACATTTAACTTCTAACATTACTCTTAAGCATTTATACATCTGAACTCTTTTATTATTATTAAGAGTGACATATGAATTTTCCTCCATAGCATTAATATCAGCAGACAAGTTCACTGCATGCAACCTACTAAGATATCTGCTTCAATTATGCATTAAGCAGTCTGTCATATTTATAAGTATGAATTATTTAAAAAATCAAAGTGTGTTAGAATGCAATACTTACAGTAGCAGATTAGAACAATTTTTCTAAACGTAGCACTTTGCAAATGTTTTGAGATAACAAGTTACAACATTCTTCACAAGCATGGCAGAAACACAAGCATGACAGAAACACTAATGGTGAAATCTGCATAATCCTGCTATTGGAAACTCTACCAAAACCCTTTTTTCCCAATTCAAAAGTATATTTGTATAATGACCAATTCAACTAACAATTAACGTGTTTATGCTTCTTAATTTTCAACATCAAGAAACATTTGGGAGACTTGGGATCTAGCAGCTCCTAGGCTCATGCCTGGCAGAATGTTCCATATGCACCTTGTAATATTGCTAATTCAAAGGATGATAGAAAGTGCTTCAGTCGGAGTTCTCAGAGAGCCTCTGACAATCAGATGAAAATTAGTATAGTAAGTACTACTTAATATTGTGTAGTACTGCTATGCTATACTATGTAGATGAAAGTATACAATGATGAAAAGTCCATCAGAACTAAAACAAATTTTGTATACATGTCAAGAATTCATCGAAGTCACTGAAACTGGATTAAATTTGCTTAAAATTTTCTGGACAGAGATATGGTTCACCTACTATAGGTTCATGATTAGGGGACTGTGAGCAAATTGCTTAATTTCTTACTTTCCCTCTTCCCTCCCCTCCCCTCCACTAACTAGGCTCACAGACTTCTACAATAATGACAGTCTTTGAGTAGCATACGTATCCCTCCATGGTATGTATTACAGCATTTTAATTAACATTTTAAATTAATTAAATTAATAATTAAATTAATAAATTAAATTAATAATTAAATAATAATTAAATTAAATAATAATTAAATTAAATAATAATTAAATTAAATAATTAACTTAAATAATAATTAAATTAAAATAATAAAATGAATAAAATTAACATTTTAATACAGTACATATAAAATTAAGTATAATATTTATTCTAACAATTCTTTGTGCAGGAGTGTAAATAATGCTTTTTTCAAATAAATAAAAAACAATTTAGCACAGAACAGGAAACATAGGCCTTGTACAAGTAGATCACTGCATATGAGTGAAACTGAAACAAGGGAAACGGGCACACATTCTACTCTCACCTCTAACCTTCCGATGCATTGCTTGATGTGGTTATTGCCTGATTTGCAGTCACATTAAAGCTGAAAATGCTTTAAATCACTTTTCAAAGCTTTATTTTAAGAGAACAAAAATTTCTTCAAGAAATCTGACTATCAGGAAGGTTTGGGATGGTATTTCCATAGAGGTTTAATCTCTGTTATGTCAAGGCAGCACAAAGAAAAATATTAAGAAATACAAGCATAAAACAAAAGTCCTTTCAGTTATTGATGGACTAATTTTATTCTGAGAAAGGAAGGACAAAATATAGATTACCAATTGGTTAAGCATTGGAAATTTAATGTGAACACCCGAAATTGAAAGAAACAGTCACCATTTTTTGTGCAGTGTCAGCCTTCAGGATTTTATTTTATTATTTATTTTATTTGATTTGTAAATCGCTTACAAGATAATAGGTATAAGTATAAACATTAGTAAGAATACAGGAAATAGCTACAAATAAATGTGGACCATAGGACAGGGACGGTAGGCACGCTGATGCACTTATGCACACTCCTCTTAGGAATGGGGTGAGGTCAATAGTGGATATTTGAGGTTAAAGGAGTGGGGGTTTGAGGATGTAACAACAGAGTCAGGTAGTGTGTTCCAGGCATTGATCACTCTGTTGCTGAAGTCGTACTATCTGCAATCACGTTTGGAGCAATTAACATTCGAGTTTGTATCTGTTGTGTGCACTTGTATTGTTGCAGTTGAAGCTGAAGTAGTCATTGACTGGTAGGACATTGTAGCAGATAATTTTGTGTACTACACTTAAGTCCAACCATAGGTAGCGTAGTTCAAGATTGTCCAAGCCCAAAATTTCAAGCCTGGTGGTATAGGGTATTCTGTTGCGAGCAGAGGAGTGTAGCACTCTTTTCATGAAATACTTCTGGACTCGCTCAATTGTATTAATGTCCGATATATACTGCGGATTAAGTGAGTGTGGTCTGAAAAACAGATTTCCTGACATTTTATTGGCAACTATGGTTGAGGATCTTCAGAGGCAAGGTTATCTGTTACGCAGACCATGGCTACTGAGCAGAGATGGTCTTACTTTGTCTTTGAAGATGCCAGCCGCAGCTGTCAACAAAATATCAGCAAACCTGTTGTCTAGACCACCACGTTCACTAAACCCTGAAGCCCGACAAATGTTGGCTGTGAAAGCCCATAGCAATGTATCAGTCACAATTTGCTTTCCTTTAGTCAGAGAAGTATTTCTGGCTTCTTATCAGAAATATCAGCACACATTATAACTTTATAAAATAACAAATAGAAAAAAGAAATATTTTTTACTCGGTCCTGTTTCCTGCTCAACATCTGGTTAAGACTGCTAGACAGCAAAAACCCATCATCCAGAATAATAGTCTGTTTCACTGACACTTGTTCTGACCTTTAAGACCCTTAATGTTTCACCAAAATCTGTTTCTTTCGCAGTTTCCCCTCCTGGATTCTAATCCTGCCTTGAAATAATAGAAAATGTTTTTGCACTATCTACATGATAGTGTTTTAAATATTTAGAAGACCCTAACATATCTCCCTTTCAGCTTCTCTTTTTAAGGCTGAACAATCTTCAATCTTTCAGTTGTTCCCCGTACAAATACCTTCTCCAAGTGTGCTCAAATCTGTGAATGCTTAATTTATTTTTAGAACTGGACACAGTATTACAAAGTCACCTATTTTTCTTATTTAAATGCAAGGTTTTCATTTATATTGCCTAAAATTTATCTTTTTGATTTGAAGCCAAATGTAAGAGGTGTGACAGAACCTAGGGGGTAGAGTTAAAAGAAGAAGAATTTTTATATAACCACAAGTGGATTAAGTACAACCTGCCCCCTGCCTTGAATTCTGTGGATCTTTATCTAACTCCAAGCAGGTGCTAATCATTAACTGGGAAGACTCATGTGCATACATTGTTTAACAATAAATCAGTTTAATTGGATTTTCACAGGTGGAACTGGTCTTTCATACCTGACATCGAACATGTTAAAGGAATGATTCAAGAAAATTAATAAAATTGGACATATGCACTACAAACTTAAATGTTTACATTTTTGAGAGACAAGATTACTATAGACCAAAGAACAAAATTATAATAGATGAAAATATAAGAACTTGTAGATTGTATTCCAATACTTTTCTTCATGCCAGACTCCTCATATTTTCACTTCAAATGTATAACATTCTTTGTTTTGCCTATAGCTGTCAAACTGTAGAACTTCAACATACATGGTATTAATTTAACAGTTTAGTTCATATGTTCTGAAGATGAATAGGAATGTTCTTGTTAATATATAAACAATGCACACCTTTATAATTTATATTCAGACTTTTAAGAAATTCTACTTACAGTTAAAATGTATTTTGAAACTGTAGATCAGAGGCATACAGTCTGTTCCCTAAGGCCATGGTCTAATCTCATAAAAACTTTGCAGAACATAATTTCTAATCTTTGGTAAATGATATCTATCCACCTCTACATCTTATACTGGATTGAAAGAAGACTATCAGAAACAGAATAGCAAAGAAAAGGCTGGTTGATAGAAAAAGTAGAAAAGATTGTCAAATAAAAAGCATCCTCACTCATAAATACTCTGAACTTATTCATTTCAATCTTACCAATTATGTCTTTCCCAAAAATGTAGCCTTTTAAAAAATTTTTTTGCTAATCCTTCTCTAGATAACGATACAGATCAGGACCATACATTAAG